GTTGGAGGCCAATCTCTCCTTCTACAAACTGGATGACCTGCTGATTGTAGAGACCTCCAGCGTGCGTGTGATCTACAGCTTGACGGGGGAGGTGACTGTCACAGTGGGGGCCTGGTTGGCCGATGAATTGTGCGGAGCTTGTGGCCACCTCGGTGGCAGCGGTCCGGACCTGCCCACTGTCGATGGTGACCCATGGAGGGCCAGAGACTTCCCAAACTGGTAGGGGTTTAAAAGCTTCTGATCACCAACTAGTCCTTATTGTTTACTAATATAATGAGCTACATGCTCAAAGGGATGATCCTTTAAGCCCATGTCAAATAAGTGAAACATTCTGAAAACTGGTGACTGTGGCTTCTTACTACCTCTTTTCTTGTTTTGCAGTGACCTCGTAGAACCCTGAAACCGCTTTCCCTGGAGCTTCTGTATTTGTATGCTCTCATATTGGATCAATAAAGTATCATCTTGATTTATGCCTCTTTATTACATGAAGTGAAACATGCACTACTGTACTCCTGTAAATTTGGGTCTTCAGTTTTATGAAACTGGGGAAATCAAAGGGAATTAAATTTTACATGGAAGTAATCAGTCTGTAGTGTTGACATCTGTAGTCATTCACAATATGCAGCTACCATTTTAGCTTCTGTTTTCTCAATCTTCAAGCAAATTGACAGGATGCTCTAACACTATTGTTGCTTTCTAATGCTGTGCCTAATCGTTTTGATTAGGAAGTGGGCCTTTGCTTATGTCATCTTTGATTTGTCCCCAATCAATTAGTGGCATACTCTTCATGTGTATTAATAATATGCTTGGTTGTGGAATAACATGGTATCAACAATATATTTGAGGGCTTTCCAATACTTTTGGGTGCTTTAGTGTGTAGTCATTATACAGACCTTGCAACTGCAGAATTTGCTCCTATAGTCAAGGAGCACCTTGGCCAGTTTTTGCATACTGATTGTGATCCTAGCTCCTTCCCATGTTGGCTCCTAAAGTGTACTAGGTGATATTAAA